CCTTGAACTCACAGAGATCCGCCTGCCTCTGCCTCCCAATTGCTGGGAGGGTATCTTTTGAATCCTCTTGGGTTGAAGGTCAGTGAAGGACTTTCTCAGCTGACTGTATTTATTTACCAAATTTTAAAAAATATTGGCCAGGCATGGTGGCACATGCCTTTAATCCCAGCACTCAGGAGGCAGAGGCAGGTGGATCTCTGTGAGTTCAAGGCCAGTCTGGTCTACATAGTGAGTTCTGGCAGGAGACCCTGTCTCAAAAAGACCAAAAGAAAAAAAAAAGAGGTGGATGCTGGGAATCGAGCCTGGGTCCTATGCAAGAGCAACTGGTACTTAACCACTGAGCCATCTCTCTAGCCTGTGGCTGACTCTTTGTGTGGTCTCTGACCTTCTTGATGAGCTACACAGTAGTCAGTTGCTTCTCTTACCTGACCAGGCTAGGCCATCCTTCCCTTGAGATAGTGAAGTAGAAAGAACCCTGGACTTGTCTTTGGGACCCCAGCCCTAGACATTGGGTTCATTTCAACTTGCCAAGCTCCAGAACAGAACCAAGGAAGAGGTGGCTTTTGACCATTTGAGCTACTTCTGAAGAGGGCTAGCCATCTTTTCTTTATATATATATGTAAAATTTTTTATGTGTATGAATGTATTCCTCCATGTATGTAAGTGCACCCCATGTCGTGTAATGCCCACAGAGATCAAAAGAAGGCCTGCTGGATTCCCCTAGAACTGGAGTTATGGACAACTGTTAGCTGTCATGTGGGTGCTAGGAATCGAATCTAGCAAGAGAAGCCGGTGCTCTTAACCGCTGAGCCATCTCTCCAGTCCTTAGCTGTCTTTTCAAACCTTTCTAGTTGATGTCAGAAAAGTAAGGCAACATAATGGCCTGCATCCAGTAAGTCCACAGACCAGGCACTCACTCTCATCTTATCTCATCCTGCTGCTGTGACCCCAAGGACTCTCCAGCTCTCCTGGGGAGCACTGAGCTTTGTGTCTTGCCTTTTCAGAAAGCCATTGATCTGGTGACAAAAGCCACAGAGGAGGACAAAGCCAAGAACTACGAGGAGGCGCTCCGGCTCTACCAGCATGCTGTGGAGTATTTCCTCCATGCCATCAAATGTGAGTCACACTTGGGGACCCTCAGCCTCAATGCCCTGGAAGAGGAGGGTGGGCACATGGGGCTCATGGAAGCCACGGCACTTCTGCAGATGAAGCACACAACGACAAGGCGAAGGAGAGCATTCGAGCCAAGTGCATGCAGTACCTAGACCGGGCAGAGAAGCTGAAGGATTATTTACGAAACAAAGAGAAGCATGGCAAGAAGCCAGTCAAAGAGAATCAGAGCGAAGGCAAAGGGTGAGTGGGCTAAGACGGCAGGTGAGCTTGCTTCGCATGTTGCTGTCATTCATGATGCACTGCTGCCGTGGACTTCTGTGGCACCCTTCTTGGGGAATCTACTCATGAAAAAACTGCCAACAGCTGCTTTCATTAAGCAGTCCACAGTGTCAGATTCCCCAGTGTGAAAGCCAGACTGAGGAAGGGACAGGAGACCAGGGGTCAGCAGGAGGGCTTGAGGATGGGAAATAAGTGATGTCTGGATAGGAGCTGGCTGTTGGGATGAGCCCATTCCCTTTTGACTTTATGTCTTTGGATTCTCTGGAGTCATGACCATGTGCTGTCTATTCCCAAGTCCATCTGAAAGCCCCGGACAGCTATGTTTGCTTGACCTGATGCTCTTTAAGTCCAACCAAAGTGCATTTCCCTCACTAGCAAGTGTCTTTCCTCTTACTCCTCTTACTCCTTTAATGAAGAAACAGGGTTATGAGTATTTCCTGGAGAAGTGTGGTGCACACATCTTGAGCTCTCTGCTCACTCATCCCTCGCCAGTGTGAGCAGAGAGTACTCCCTTCCTGTGCTGAGCAGGGAGCACTCCTTTCCCCCTGTGCTATAGAGCTAGCCTCGCTCCCAGACCTCCTTGTTCCCAGAATGAAGGGCCAGTTTGATCTTCTGTTTCCTTTCTTAGCAGTGATAGTGACAGTGAAGGGGATAATCCAGAGAAAAAGAAATTACAAGAGCAACTGATGGGTAAGAGGCCTGAGGGGATGTGGCAAGGGTCCCTTTTTAGGGTCAGCTTGTGCTCGTGGGTTGATTTCTCGGCTGGCCCTCCACCTTGCAGGTGCTGTTGTGATGGAGAAGCCCAACATACGGTGGAATGATGTGGCTGGGCTGGAGGGGGCCAAGGAGGCCCTCAAAGAAGCTGTCATTTTGCCAATTAAATTCCCACACTTATTCACAGGTAAGAATGTAGCTACTAGCACAGATGTAAAATACCAGGCTTCTGAGAGACCTAACTTGCCCCGTACCCCACCAAGTGCCCATTCCCTCAGCAGACTTAGCTTGTAGAAGGCAGTCCTGGCCTTGCTTCATAGCCTGTCTGTTCTGCCTACCACAGCTTGACTTTTTTTCCCATTGCTGGGATGGAACCTGGGGTCTAGGTAAGTACTCTCCCACTGACCCGACCCTTACTCCTTGGCTTCTTCTAGCATCAGAAACATTTTTGTGGGCTGGGGATATAGCTCAGTTTTTCTAGCATGCATGGAGCCCTGGGTTTGATCCTCAGCACCATATATACTAGGTGTGGCAGTGCACACCTGTAATCTCAGCACTTGGGAGGCAGGACGATCAGAAGTTACGGTCATTCTTGGCTACACTGTGAATTATAGGCCATCCTGAGATGCATGAGATCCTATCTTAAAAAGAAAAAAAAAAAAGACTAGAGCTTTAAATAGACCATTTTAATGAAAGGGCAGGGTCAGGAGCCAGTGCTAACCAATTCATTTGTCAAAGGTGTAAGGTAAGGGTCATTAGCAAGGACAAAGACTAAGCTTCCAGAAGTGTTTAGTCCCCTTTATTCCTAGAATCAGTTGTTTTATAGAACTTCCTTTCTTACTGTATTGACAGTAACTGTCAGTTTTTACTTTTTAAAAAAAAGTGTGTGTGGAACCAAGCATGGTGGCGCACACCTTTATTCCCAGCACTTGGGAAGCAGAGGCAGGTGGATCTCTGTGAGTTCAAGGCTAGTGCCTGGTCTCCATAGCAGGCCAGCTGTGACTACAGGAAGATCCTGTCTCAAAAAGACCAAAAAAAAAAAAAAATTGTTCCATGAGAGGGTGCATGTATTGTGTGTGTGTGCAGGTGCACATGCATGTGAAGGCCAAAGGTTGATGATAGGTGTCTTCCTCGATCTCTCTCCACCTTATATACTGGGGAAGGTTCCTCACTGGAACCCTGAGCTTGCTGATTTGGCTTGGCACTTACATGAATACTGGGGATCCAAGCTCTGGTCCTCTTGATTGTGGAGCAAATGCTCTACCCACTGAGCCATCTTCCCCAGCCCTGGCTTCAACATTTCTTTGCCCCCTTTTCCCAATCAGGAAGAAGCTTACTTGAGTCTGTTCTTTATTGCAGGCAAGCGTACCCCTTGGCGAGGCATACTGCTCTTTGGGCCCCCTGGCACAGGGAAATCCTATCTGGCCAAAGCGGTAGCAACAGAAGCCAACAACTCTACCTTCTTCTCTGTGTCCTCCTCAGATCTGATGTCTAAGTGGTTGGGGGAGAGTGAGAAGTAAGTCAGCCTTAGGCTGTGCTCTGCTGCCACCTCTGGCAGCTGCTGGTGGTCCAGCGTCCTGGCCCCTCAGCAATCTCCCCCAGGGGAGCTGCTGCTGGGTGTGCAGGAATAGGAGAGCAGGCTCTTGTTTCTGGGGCTGCTGTCTTGACACATAGGTGTCGGGGAACTTGGAAAAGATGAAGTACTAGAGCCTCATAGGTCATACACGCCTTTAATCACAGCACTCTGGAGGCAGAGGCAGGTGGAGCTCCATGAGTTTGAGGCCAGCCTGGTCTACATAGTGAGTTCTAGGCCAGCTAGGGCTACATAGTGTGAGTCTGTCTTAAAAAACCAAAACCAGGGCCGGGCGTGGTGGTGCATGCCTTTAATCCCAGCCCTCGGGAGGCAGAAGCAGACGGATCTCTGTGAGTTCAAAGCCAGCCTGGTCTACATAGTGAGTTCCAGGACAGCTGGGGCTACAGGGAGACCCTGTCTCAAAATGACCAAAAAAAAAAAAACCAAAACCAGAGCTGGAGAGATGACTCAGCGGTTGAGAGGACTGATTGCTTCTGCAGAAGACCTGGGAACCAGCACCCACATGGCAGCTAACAACCATCTGTAACTCCAGTTTCAGGGGATCTGACACCCTCTTCTTGCCTTTGGGGGTACTGCATGACACAGGTACACTTACATACATATAGACATAACAGTCATACACATAAAATAAAAAAAAAAAAAATTTAAAACCAAAAACCAAAATAAAATGACTTACGAAGGAATGGTAAAGTGAGGTTTAGTGAGACACATCTATAATCCCAACACTCAGGATGCAGAGGCAGGAGGATCACAAGTTCAAAGTCAGCCTGTCTATTAATAAGACCTTGTCTCAAAAAAAGGGAAAAAAGAAAGGGAAGGCACTATCCATATATTTTGTTTCTTTTTGAGTTTTAGAGACAATGTCTCATGTGCCCAGGCTAGTCACAAACTCTTATCTATTGGAGAGGATGGCCTTGAACTTGTGATTCTTCTAGCTCTAGGTCCTCAGTACTGGGGTTATAGGCATGTGCCACCATGCCTGGCTGTGTCATCAGTTGAGTACCCCCTTTGGGAGCATTTCTTGGAGTTAGCCAATTCTTCAAGCTGGTTCCCATTTTGTGATGATGAAACTGAAACTCAGAGGAAGGGAATTCTTCCTATGACCAAAACTAATTAACAGGGTTCCCAGGTTTGAGGCCAAGGCCAAAGCACGTTTTTCTTGGTCCACTGCTGCTTGACAACCTGTCATCCATTTTCCCTGTTACTACTTTTCAGCCTCCCACTGGGAAGAGCACCAGAGGGATTTGGGGTGGGCATGCTGCATGTATCCAAGTCTTCATTCCTTTCTTAACCTTATAGGCTAGTCAAGAACTTGTTTGAGCTGGCCAGGCAGCACAAGCCCTCCATCATCTTCATTGACGAGGTGGATTCCCTCTGCGGGTCACGGAATGAAAATGAGAGTGAGGCCGCCCGAAGGATCAAAACGGAGTTCTTGGTCCAGATGCAGGGTGTGTGCCCATGCCATGTCCCTCCTTGACTATTCTCCATCTAAGGCCAACAACTCAGGGCTTCATGACATACCTGTGGCTGGGCTACATTATCCTCCGGAGGCAGGAGAAGTACTTCTGGTGCCATCTCTGCCAGCCTTTCATGGGCTTTCATCCAAGGGAGGGTCCTGAGGCCTTTGCCATGTAACCTCTGCCCCTCCCAGGGCAGGTCTTTACCCAGTGAAGCCATACCAGGATGTGGTTTAGTTCAGTTGGGCCCCTGCCACTGGTGGCACAGGATGGCTTCAGGCACTGGCTCACAGCACTGGAGTCTGTCCCACAGGGCTTGGCTGCCCCTTGGAGGTGACCTCAGCATCTTTGTCTCCCATTCTCTACAGGAGTGGGGAATAACAATGATGGAACTCTTGTTCTTGGTGCCACAAACATCCCCTGGGTGTTGGATTCGGCCATTAGAAGGAGGTGAGTCTCCCCTGGAAGGAGCTCAGGGCTTGACATCTTTCTCCAGCCCTGGTCAGCCTGTGGTTGGCAGCCCATGGGTGCAGCCTGACCCCATTTCTCTGGAGTCCTCCCAGGTCTGCATGTCAAGCAGAGCCCTTAGGAAAGCTGGCTTTGGAAGCCTGGATCACTCAGTGTGCACACATCCCCTTCTACAATCGGCTCTCGGTCAGCCATGTATATGGTCTCTAGGTTTGAAAAGAGAATTTACATCCCACTGCCTGAGGAAGCTGCCCGCGCCCAGATGTTCCGGTTGCATCTGGGAAGCACACCTCACAACCTCACGGATGCCAACATCCATGAGCTGGCCCGGAAGACAGAAGGCTACTCGGGAGCAGACATCAGCATCATTGTGCGGGACTCCCTCATGCAGCCGGTCAGGAAAGTACAATCGGCAACACACTTCAAGAAGGTGAATGGCAGCAGTTGCTTCCACGGTGTCAGCAGAGTCAGGCAGGGCATGGGGGCTGGGAGGGTGGGATCCATTTTCTTTGACAGATTCCTGCCTGCTCAAGGAATATTGCCTGGAGAACTAAGGGTAGATGCCAAGTATACCCTTTTCTCTAGGAGTGGGGTTGCATGTACACCCCCTTCCCTGCAGTTCTTGCTTGAGTAAGAAAGATACTCTTCAGTTGTGGGAAACCAGAAGACAGGCAGCGTCACCCCAGCTTTGCAGCCTCCTCAGCCAGCACTGTGCTGGAGGGCAGGGTGCACACCAAGTAAATGCTTGGAAAGTGCAGGCAGTCACCAGGTACGGGGAGGACTTGCCACTGGATCAGGCAGGTCTTGTTGGTATCTGCTTGTGGGTCCTGCTGTGTGCCAGCACCATGCTTGGGTGCTGGGGTGGCAGGCATTAGTGACTACAGCAGACAGCAACCCTTGCCCTCAAGAGCCTCCCTTCAAGTCATGGAGACAATGAAGAAGGAAATGCTGATTCCCCCTTAGTGGATAGTGAGGGTGAATCAGAGCAGGGCAAGGATATCAAGAGTTCCAGAAGTTTGGTGGGTGGGTACATTGCACTGTTAAAGGACAGGCCACATTGGAGTAACTTGAGCCAATACTTGGAGGAGGCGAGAGAGAGAGGGCCTTGGATATTTGGTGGTTCCCCAGTGCGGAAGACGTCAATGAGAAGAAGACTTTTGCAGTGACTGCATTTGTTGAGGTGAGTTTTGGTGGCATTAATAAGGTGAGGCATTTGGGGCTACAGGTGGAGATAACAGACCAGCAGTGGGAAGGGCATGCTGTCCATCCACCTCTGAAGCCAGATCAACCCACTATGATTGCTTAGCCTGAGTTTTTGTTCATTTTGTGTTCACACCGTGTGTGTGTGTTCAGGATAATTTGCAAGACTTGATTCCTTCCTTCTATCATGTGGATGTGGGTCTGGGGGATGGAGCTCAGGTCATAAGTCTTGGCTACAAATTCCTCTTTACCTGCTGAGCCATCTCACCAGCCCGTGTTCATTGGGTTTCTTTGAAACAGGATCTCATTAGCCCAGGCAGGCATCAAACTTACTATGTAGTTGAGGATGACCTTGAATTGCTGATCCTCTTGCCTGTACCTCCTAAGTGCTGTGATTATAGGTGTGTGCCACCATATGCAGCTCAGCCTGAGGGGCTTTTATTTTACTTATTATGGGGGGGGGTTGCAGGTCCTATGGCTTGTGTGTAGAGGTTGGAAGATAATGAAGTTGGTTCTCTTTCCACCTTTACCTGGGTTCTAGGGCAAGAGCTCAAGTTGTCAGGCTTGCATGACAAGTGCCTTTCCCTGCTGAACCATCTCACTAGCTCTCAGCCTGAGTTTTAAAGGAGCCTGTGCCTCGTCCAATCCTGGTGACCTAGAAGCCCCACCACTCCCTTCTCTGTATGACATCCTAGGGATCTGAGGTGTCCTACTGTCCACAACCACACCAATCTGACATTCTGCATTTGGTTTCAGGTCTGCGGCCCTTCCCGCACCAACCCTAGTGTTGTGATTGATGATCTCCTGACCCCGTGCTCTCCAGGAGACCCGGGGGCCATAGAGATGACTTGGATGGATGTCCCTGGTGACAAACTCTTAGAGCCTGTGGTTTGCATGGTAAGTGACTGCTGGGAGAGGACCAGAGAACCCAGAAAACTGGGGATCTGAGTCTAAGAATAAAAATGGGTCTTCCTGTCATCCTGCCTCATGGTCCCCCTAGAGAGCAGCCTGTGGGACTCTGGGTAGCTGAGGCTCCTGCCATGACTTCTTGGGGCCCGGGACAGAAACACTAGCACTTTATATTCTTCTGCATAAAGTCCAGGTCTGTAATTGTCATTCCAAGGGCTTGACTTTTGGTGTAGAAGGAACTATTGAAAGTATTTTAGCCTGGCTCTCACCTGACTAGTCTAGAGTTTTCCTAGTCTTGTCACAACGCCTGTGTCCTGGCTGGTGTGGGAGTACAGTGAGGAAGCTACAGGACAGGATGATGGAGTCATGGGGTCAAAGAGTATAGATCCTTTCAGATGGGAGGAGGGTCTGTGGAAGAACTGAGCAACTGCTGGGAGGTCTGCACTGGGGGCAACATCACAGGCAGACTTCTTGCCATCCTAGACAGCTGGACTGGAGGGAGGGAGGCTGAGGACCTGGACTGGCCCTTTTCAGTGGCATGCTTGTGTCTGTGCAGTCGGACATGCTCCGGTCTTTGGCCACCACCCGGCCCACAGTAAATGCAGAAGACCTCCTGAAAGTAAAGAAATTCTCAGAGGACTTTGGACAGGAGAGTTAAAAGCCTCTTCATGTTAATGAAGTTGGGAGGCTGACTGGAGTAAACCCATGGGACTGCCTACATCATTGGCCAGGCAGGGCCTGAAGTCTTGGTTCCTAGTTCCCCTCTGCTGCCTGGCTCCAGCTTGGAGGAAGGGCTTCCACAGCCGCAGAGACACTCGGCCACCTAGGACACAGGGATACTGGCTCTGTGCACTTCTCTCCTGGTCCTAGTTCCCCTCTGCTGCCTGGCTCCAGCTTGGAGGAAGGGCTTCCACAGCCGCAGAGACACTCGGCCACCTAGGACACAGGGATACTGGCTCTGTGCCCCCCCCCCCTTTTTTTTAAACATCATTTCCCTAAATTAATGCTTTGGTTTCTGTCTTGTTTATAAATAAAGATCAAAATCACCTGGAAGTGTCAAGGAGGGCAGCTGCCAGGCCCCAGCCCCTCTCCTTTCACTTGTTTGGCTCCTTGGGAACAGACTGGGAGAGTAAGAAAAGCCATCCCACCCTCCCAGCTTTGCATCTGGAGCTTCAGGTCTTCCTTGCAGGAGGAACTGATGGCTTCTCTGAGCACAAGGCTGTTTCTGTCAGGAGAGGAGGCAGTCAGGGGTCTTTCCACTGCCTTCACTGACTGAGAACACCCAGACAGCTGGTCCCTGTCCTGCAGATGGTCTAATAAATCCTTTCCCTTCTTGAGCTGCTGGAGTGATCTCATCTTTGATGCCTGGATGGGGCTGAGGGCTGCTCTTGCTTCTAGTAACACCCTTTGGCTTGTTCTCTGCTTTCCTCAGCAGAGCAGGATATAGTGCTCACCACCTGCCACTTCACAGGTCTGCTCCCCAGGTAGGTGCAAGGCCTGCAGGCCCTCAATGAGCTTGGGGTTCTTTTTATATATACTTTTGTTTTGATACAGCGTTTCATGTAGCCCAGGCTAACCTTGAAATCTCATTGTAGTTGAGGATGACCTTGATCTTTCTACTACCCCTAAAAAGAGTTGGGATTATAGGAATGAGTCACCACACCCACCTGGCTTGGTGTTTAAGGGACCTGGACAGTTCTTCCTGTTCCAGATTGAAGACTGCAAACTAGACATGACCTACAGCTATATTTTATGTGATATGAGTGTATTGCCTGCATGTGTGTAAGTGCACCCATGTTGTACAATGCCTGAGAAAGTCAGAAGGTGGCACCAGATCCCCTGGACCTAGAGTTACAGATGGTTGTTAACCATGATGTCGATGCTGGAATGGAACTCGGGTCCTCTGCAAGAGCAGTCAGTACTCTTAACCACTGAGCCATCTCTGCACCCCCAACCTATAGCTATTTTAATGCGTTTATACTGCCTCCGAGAACTGAAAATCAAGTTGACATAAAATTTCAGATTTCTAGCCCTGAAAGGTTAGGTTAGGTAATGCTAGGCCTGCATTCCTATGAGGCAACCTAGCAGCTGCTAGTGAGCAGGTGCTGCCCTGTTCAGAAGGGGTCCTGCTCCCAATTGTTTATGCTACCTTGCCTGGTGGGTAACCACTGGTGACCCCTGATAAGCCAGCCCTGGAAATGCTGTGTGACATGAAGCACAGTAGAGGCTATAGTGTTACAGCCTTCTCCAAAAATTGGCATTATTCTTCTATATTTTACTTAACTGATGTTAGGGGATCAAACCCAGATCCTTGCACACTAAGCACTGTTCCCCAGTGAGCTCCCAGCCCTAAGCCCTCTGACTCTAAACCCTGAAAGGGCCAGAACTGATCGTGGCTAAGACTATTTAGCTTTGCACTGTATTCTTTGCTCTGGTTGAGAGTAGCTGCTTATTTGATCTTTGGTTTTAGTTTTTATTTAAGTGTACAGTGTGTATCTGAGTGTGGGGTTTGTACATAGTACAGTGCCTTAGGAGACCAAGACTCTCCCGGAGCTGGAGTTAGATTGGTTGTGAGCCCTTGACAAAGGTTCTGGGAACGGACTCCAGTCCTCTGCAAGAGTAGTGAGTGGCAGAGCCATCTCTCCAGCCCCCTGATTTGAGCTAACTTTTGATCAAGTTCCAATGTTGGGTTCCAGAGCTGCTTTCGATGGTAGTGGGTTAGGCACCCCCATAAACCTCCTTACCTACAGCCTCAATGGACCCAACCTTCAGATGACTTTTTTTTTGGCCTGGGCAGGGCTTCAGCAGAGAAAGTCAGGATTACTTAGAACTTCACAATTGGGGTCACACCAGCCCTCCTTGCCAAAGGTGGGTACAAATTGACAGATACCAGTTGTACCTGCATCCATTGCCTAAATCATCCTGTCTCCAGCATGGGCCGGGACTTTCCCTCCCAGCATGTGGCTAGCTTCTTCCTGAGTCATCAGGGCTTCCACCCCACTCTGGCCTCTGGCGGCCTGATCCTCTAGCAGCATGCATGCCAGAAGCACAACTTACTCCTCTGGGGGCAGTGCCCTCCAGTGAGGCCACAGCAGGCTGAATCTGGGCAACTGTCTCCTGGCTGGTCACCTCAAGGGTGTTTCCTGGACTTCAAGAGCTGTATGTTGGTGACTGACCTGTGGACCTGGACCCAGCTGCCACTACTGCCAAGAGGGAATGGGGGCATGTTGGGGGGGGCATCTTCATGTCACTCTGAGATCACATTTCTGCAGCAACTGTGAGCAGGATCTTGTCACTCAGGAGCACTCACATAGCTCGCCTAAGTTCTGTGCCTTCAGCCTCAGTTAGCTTGCAAATTCTGGAATAAGTCAGGACATGAAACTGTCCAACTATGCAGCTTCACCTCAGCTAAGTGCTTTTAAAATTTTACTGTTACCTGAGTCAGAAGACCCTTGCTCCCCAACCCCACTATCCCAATTTCTCATTTCTCCTGCATAAGAATTTGCCTGCTCACGGGGGGATGTCCTCCCAGCTCTAGGTGGAGCATTACAGGCACCCAACTTTCCCATGGCCAGCAATGGGAACCCACAGATGCTATCTGGAATTGAAGCAATGGCCTTAGGCTACCAGTACAGGACCCAATGTGGACCAGCTTAAAGCCAACAGCCTGTACAGAGGCATTCTCCCATATATACATTCTTTGGGGGTAGGGCAGAGTACACAAGATCTCACTATGTATGTAGCTCTGGTTGGCCTGGAACTTACTAGGTAGACAAGGCTGGCGTCCAACTCACAAAGAACCACTTGCCTCTGCTTCTGGAGCACTGTTACTAAAGACATGCACCACCACCTGCTATAAATACATTTTAAAAAATTATTTTAAGCTGGGTGTGGTGGCACATGCCTTTAATCCCAGCACTTGTGAGGCAGAGGCAGGGATCTCTGTGATTTCAAGGCCAGCCTGGTCTAGAGAGTTCCAGGCCAGCTGGAGCTACAAGGAGACCCTGTCTCAAAAAAAATTATGTGTATGAGTGTATTGCCTGAATATATGCAAATGTACCCGTGTCATGCAATGCATGCACAGGTCAGAAAAGAGCATCATGAACTATAAATACATTAAAAAAATATTTTGATGTGTATGGGTGTTTTGCCTGCATGCATGTAAGTGCACCATGTGTGCAATGCCTGAAGAAGCCAGAAGAGGGTGTCAGATCCTCTGGAACTGGAATTAGCTGCCATGTGGGGGCAGAGCAAGAACAGGATGTGCCATCTTCCCAGCCCCTACCTACATTTTAAAAGTTTTCAGATATTTGGGCACTGCATTCTGTCAAGTTTTGGCTGTGGGGTCTTAAAAAGTCTTTTCCACCGAGAATGGCTATTGTTGCATTCTCTCCATATAAAACTGTCAGGAAGTAGCCACTCCTGCAGGAGTGTATTTTCTCCTCATGTTGTACCAGTACTGTCCAAACCCGATTTCTGGACAAACGTTTCTATTACCTTCATCCATCTCAGTCCAGCCCACACTGGCAGCCCACTCTTTATATCAGATTGGAACCAATTCCAAGTTGAAGCTCAGTGAGATGTGCCCAATTCAAGCCCAGGTGCCCATATCTTAGTTTTCCAGACCCTTAGTCAGGCACAAGAGCTTCAATCATTCACCTCCATCCAATGGACATTGGTAAATGTCCCGCTGTCCATTTTGTCAATGAACAAGCAGCCTTGCAAGTGGTCCATCTCGTGCTGGATGATTCGGGCCGTCCACCCACTTGCTGACCACACCACTGGCTCTCCTCTTGGGTCCAGTCCTGCAAAGAAAGTTACAGGGTGGCTGAAGTGAGGCTGTGCTGAATGCAACATGCTCAACCTCCTGTCCTTGAATCATGTTCCCTGACTTGGCTATTCCTATTTACAAGCAGAACCTCACAGCCCCTATCCCTCCTAGAAAGGATGCCTTAACCCTGCCTGTTGCCAGGTATTGAAGCTGGCTCTATAGGGCAGGGATGAGAACCTTCTCTGGCTAAGGTACTTCCCTTCTGAATACTTGCCTCACTTCTCATGAGCTGCTGCTTATCAAATGATTTCAGCTGGCACAGTAGAGGAATCACATTCCACAAGGCAATGTAGTAGGACAGACTTGGAGTGCTTGTCATCCTAGGCTGGGCAAAGCTGGGACTCACTTCTTTCTACAAGTCCACCATGACAGATAAACTGGAGCATAAGGGTGTTTGTGTGTATATATGTATGTGTGATACATATATGCGATACATATGACACATTATGATATATGAGTCGAGTCTACTTACCTACAGGAGATGGGGGAAGAGAGACCCCTGTAACGGGCGTCCCACATTAGCGGGCTCAGCCCTGCTCTTAGGAGTCTTTCAGCCCGGTGCCTTCCCGGGTCCTAACTGGCCCCCGCGAAAGCAATGTGTGTGCGAAAGCAATGTGTGTCTGCGTAGTGACTGCGGTCCTGGGCCACCCAGTCTCCCAGGACCCCGCACCTGAGATCTGCACGGCCTGGAAGCGGGGCACAGAGGCCAGGAAGCCAGCGACACTCTCGCAGCCCTCGGGGAATGTGACCAGGCGGTTGTCCAGCACCCTCAGGCTGGGGTTCACCAGCACGCGCAGCGGAAAGGGCTCCATCTGGCGCAGCTCTCGCAGCCGCGGGGCGCAGGCGCGGAAGAGAGCGTCCGGGAACTCAAGCGCCAGCACCTGTAGCGGTACCCCCAGCTGCGGCGCGCTCAGCCCCACACAGCCACACCGCCGCATCACCTGCACCAGCCGCCGCACTAGCTGCCGCAGCTCTGGCCCCGCCAGCTGCGCGGGCTCCACCGGGGCTGCCACGGCGCGCAGCACCGGGTCTCCGACCTGACACACGCGCAGGTAGGGTGGCTGCGGCGGCCCGCGCACCAGGCGCCTCAGGTACCGCCAATAGGAGCGCGGCCGCGTGGGGCCCTCTAGGCCGGCCGCCGAGCTGCAGCCCCGCGCCGGGCACAGACGGGCCCTCGCCCCCAGCAGCAGCCCACCCCACAGCCGCATGGCGCTCGCAGGAACCGCGGCGGCCGCCTCCTCCCAGCTGCGCGCGCCAGGGACGCCGGGAAGCGTAGTTCCCACGCCTTCCGGGACTAGTCAAGGGACCGCAGCCAAGTCGTGACGGTCATCAGCTTTATTAACTCCCCACATCCCAGATAAACCGGAAGCGGCCCCTTGACTGTCACCGAGCCGTCCAGGGCAAGGCCTCCACACCAGCGGCGACCTTGCTAACCCCGGTGCGGCTGGGACCCCTGCGCACTGGGTGCTGCTCGACTCCCCGCAGTGAACACGACCTATGTCTCCTCACTAGGCGGCTGCTCCCTCTCCATCGGCTCCCGGGGCAGCGGCTCCTCCTGCACCCCTGGCACTCCCGACTCCCCCTTCCCTGAGTCGAACTCAGGGGGTGCTGAAGTGAAGGACTCCAGACTTGGCTGCTCAGCAGGGAGCTCCAGTACTGGGCCCACGAGGTCAGGCATCAGCTCCTGGTCATCTAGAGAGAAGACCATCTCTTTTTTAGGCAGGATGAAGGCGAGAGGCTCCTGGATGATGGTGATGTTCACATGCCCCAGGTTTCCGTACTTGGAGAGCTGGGTGGGTGAAATGCCTGACCCAGAGAGGAAAATGAAACGGGGAAAAAAGCCCATCAAATTCAATACAGAGGTCACAGAAAAAAAATAAAACACTCAGGGTAAGGAACTGATACAATTACATATTCTAATACAGCAAAGACCATCTTTGTGACATGGAATTTGTACTGTAAAGCAAGACCAGGAAGTAACCTGGAACCACACAGTAAGGGTGGGTAGAGCCAGAGCCAGGAGAAACTCAGTAAGTACCAGTCCTGGGATGGACCCAAGGTGGAGAACGACTATCCTTGGCCAGAGAGATCGTTGACCCACTGGCCTTTGGGAAGCCATGCCTCCCCTCACTCCACAAGGCAAGAGAAAGCAAACTGGAAAAATACTTCTTTTTTTTTTTTTTTTTTTGGTCTTTTTTGAGACAGGATCTTCCATAGTCCCCAGCTGGCTTGGAACTCACTTTGTAGACCAGGCTGGCCTTGAACTTACAGAGATCCATCTGCCTCTACCTCCCAAATCATGGGATTAAAGGCAAGCAACACCACGCCTG